AAAGCACCTTAAACCTCAAGGTAAAAGCACTGAGGTGTGCACCTCCTGGACTTCGCAATGCTACAAGGTTGGGAAGCGTTTTCGAGGTCGCCTCGCGCCTAGGTGCGCATTTTAAAACTAAGCATGAAACTGAACATCTCTTGAAACAAAGTATTGTTTGCTGATTAGGTTTTGTAGTCTATATCCTTTTTGAGTAGCAGGATATCTCAGGAAAACACATGGACACCTCTTGCATCAAAATCATCAACAATGTGATCTGGATTATAAGAAAAGGTTAGGCAACCAAACACCTTCAGGTGACTATAATAATTAGGTGTTTTAAGATATAAGCACTCAAAATGAGTCTTGTTTCCAAGAATAGGAGTGGAAAGTCTATTGATGAGGTGTACAACAACTAATACACACCCACCCCAATATGGCAGAGGCAAGCCAACTTGAAACCTCAAAGCTCTTGACATTTCTAGAACATGTTTGTGATTTCTCTCAACCCTAACATTCTGTTGAGGTATCTTGACACAAGAGGTTTGATGAATAATCCCATGCTTTGCAAAGAAATTTTTGCAAGGTCCATCATGAAATTCTAAGGCATTATTTGACCTTATGAATTTGATATTCTTCCCAAATTGATTCTAAACATAATTGTAGAATGTTTCAATTGTGCTCATCAGAGATTCAGACTTGAATTGTAGCAAGTAAACTCAGGTGTTACTGCTGTGAACATCATTTATAGTCAGGAAATGTTTGTATTTGCCCTTAGTGCTGAACTTATAAGGACCCCATATGTCCATATAAATCAGTTCAAAAGAAGTTTCTGCATGAGAATCACTCATAGTATAAGGTAGCTTGGTGAATTTTGACATGGGCATGTGATACACACCTTGGAGTCTTGAGTTGTGAATGGTTTTGCACATGGAATATGCTTCAGCTTTGTAAGTGAGGCATGTCCTAGCCTATGATGTCGTAGAGCAAGAGATTCTTCATCAAACTTCACAGATTTAAGATCACACACTTCCTTTTTGCACAATGTGTCTTGTTCCTGAGACTTTGTCAAGTGATTGACAAGATAATATAGGCCATTTCTCGTCCCACCTCTACCCTTAATACTCTAAGTTTTGTTATCAATAATCACACAATATGTGGGGAAGAATTGCACGTGACACTGATTATTTGTAATCAGTTTCTATATAGACAACTAGTTATGCTTAAATGTTGGCACACACAACACATTACTTAGTTTCATTCCAAGATCAAGAAATACATTTCCTACATGGGAATTTCAGCCTTTTCACCATTAGAACAATTGTTTTTCTCAGTTTTGAATGTTTTTCTATATTCATCTAGCATGTGAAAGTAAGGGGTCATATGATCTGAAGCCCCGGAGTGTATAATCCCCTCCTTTAAGCTTTCAGCCACATTGCATGAAATCATTCCTCAAAAGTGATCAAGTTCTTCACATTCTCAGATTCCTTAGACTGAGACATTAGTTTTGGCATCATTTTTGAAATTTGATCTAATTACTGAGGTGTAAACAGCAAGCCTGCACTATCAACACTTGACTGAGCTGTAGTAGCCATCTTAGATCCACCGGATCTACCAGTTTTAAAATCAGGTTTTCATTTTTTCCGAACACCAGCTTTAGCTCTATTGACAAGAGCTTTGTTGTTGTATTTTGGATGCCATGAAGGATATCTAATGACGGTCCAACTGACATCACTCTTATGACCTTCAAACCACAGGTAGCACACACAATCACCCTTTTAGATCCAATAGCCTTACTATATAGAGCCATGGTGTCATTACCACACTTGTTGTGACTCAACACCTCTATAAAAGGGAGAGGTGTCTGAAGAAATAGTTGGCTTCTCTAAGGGTTATATACCTTCAACAAATTATGAACCTCAACATTAGATTCATTAATAATAGGTGACATATTCATAGAATCAAGTTCTTCCCAAATAACTCTCAAGTAAGTATGATATTCATTCACAGGCATAAAGTCTTGCTTAGTTTCAAATAGCTCTTTGTTAAGCTTATATTTTCTAGACCCATTAGTCAAAGAAAAATTTCTTTAGGTTCATCCAAATTTTCCTAGCAGAGTTCATAAACATGATAGATCCCTTAACAGTAGAGGAAACAATATTAGTGATACAGGCTATTACCATGTCATTGCAGGTCTTCCATAGCTTAACTTTGACTTCATCATCATTGGCTTGAGCACTGTTCCCATCACAAATGTTAGCTTGCACTTGGATGTAAGGTTGATTTCCATGGATCTATGCCAGGATCTGTAGTTAGTGCATCCCTGAAGCTTGTCCACTTCAACAGAGAAGGATGAAGGAATAGAGGATTTAACATACCCTGAAATGAAATTCCTCCACCAGTCATTGCAAATAGAGAAGAAGAAGAATAGAAGAAGAGAAGAAAGAAAAAGAGAAGAGAAAACAAAAAAGATGAAAAGAGATGATCATTTTTTTTTTTTTTGTAATCAAAAGATCACGATTCCATCACTGCATTGATAGGCTCTAATACCATGATGAGTAAAATGAATCAATATGCAATCATTCAATATAGAGGACATTTCAGAAAGAATTTAGAGGAAGAGAGAAGATATAATTTGATTGCTTAGCCGAAAGGAATTACACCCTACACACTTATAGCATGACCTTAGAGAATTTATTGCAAACTGAGTGCCAACTAATTATTCTATTCCCTAAACCTGAGAAAACTATTAACATAAAGGAAAGAAAAGGACAAAATAGCAAAACAGAAAAGATTCTTGAGGCTATGACATGGCAACTGATATTGAGAAGAATAGGATTATGGCAGTAAATTATGGCAATAATCTTATTAAATGCATATTGCCGTAAGAAGTAGGGGAAGTCACCAAAGAAAAAACAAAGCCTCATTTTTTAGAATTATCATTGAAAGTATTTTCATCCCGATTGTTATCGATTATTGTACAAGCATCATACCAAAAAAGTAAAAACAAATTGAAAACCTAAGGGTGTGTTTGGCATCATTGTTGTTTTGGTTTTTTACCGGCCCCCAAAATAAAACAAAACAGTGTTTGGTAAAATTGCTTAAAAAAACAAACCTACAACTATTTTATAAAAAATAAAGCAGTAAACCTAAAACACCTAAAAGGAGTTTTTGAGGTTTTGTTTTATTTTTACTAATAATAAACCCTATCAAAGTTACGCTCGTTTCATATATACCTTCAAATTCAATATCTCATCTTTCTTCCTCAAACCCTAATTATTCTTAAGATTCAAGAAGCAAGCAATTACAGGTATGAAGTGTTCTCCTCTCTCTTTTCTTTTAATTTCATTTGTAATCATCACATTTCCCCCTATTATTCTTTCGATCTTTATTATAAACTTATTGATACTTTTGTTGTTAAATTTGGTTGTATTAATCGTTCTTTGATCAAAATTGGTTATATTTCTTCTTTATGTTTCTGAATTTTAATCGCTCTTTGTCTAATTTGTATATAATTTATTTTGGATTTTTATGGTTGGGTTTTTTTTAAATAATAATACGAGTCTTGTTTAATTATGACAATGGAAGAAAGTTATAAACACTGTTATTCACAATCACCATTTTTATTGAAGTTTCAACCCCAGATTGAAGAAAGTTAATGATATGTGTAGTGTTAAGTTTAACTCTTGCCTGTAGTTTTTAATAATCAACATCATAAGATCAGAGCATCTTAGTCCTCTTAGATCTTCAACTTTTCCACCAAAACTATGAATCATTATCTTCTTCACATATAAAAATAAATTCATAAACACAAAAAATTGGAAGAATATCAAATAAGCTATTGTAATCATTGATTCACTTACAGTTACACTAGTCTCTAATTTTAAAAAATGTCTCTTATTTTAACTCCAATCTTTTTCATTAGAACTAAGAATTATATAATTAGATGGCTAATACCTTACTGGGGAGTGGGGAAGATGAAATCTGCCCAATGTATTCCTAAAGTTAAATCTAAACGTCCTACAAACTGCATGTACAAAAAGAGTGATTAATGAGGAAGATTATCTAATATGTTAACTCAACTCTATTTGATGCTTTGGATTTTAAAACTACTCCATAAATAAAATTTTATTTATTATTACTAGAATTATGTAGTCAAACAAATGAATGGCTAAGATTTAAAATTGCATATCAACGATCCATATTTAAAGATTACAATGGCTACAATATTATTGTGGCCATTGCAAAATTGTCCCTAAACTATTACCTATAAACTTTTTCTTGTTTTTACTATATTGAGTCATGCATGTGATCACACTTACGGTTTGACAAGTATTCATATTTGTGAGTTGTGACAGTTTGATTATTCATTGCTTTTCATGTCATGTCAACAATTTATCTCAAATCATATTACCTTATAAATTTCATGTTAATAGACTTGGTTACTACAATGTTTTAAAGTTGTATATTAGCTCTAAGTGATTATGATCCTCATGTTTAACATTTTCTGTTGTATAGTACTGTTTGTGATCAAGTAGGAGTTTTAATATTTTCTGTTGAATAGTACTGTTTGGATCAAGTATTGTTTGTAGATGATTATTATGTCTAATAATACAGTTTGGATCAAGTATTGGTTGTATATATGCTATTGTTTTTCTAGTTGTTGCACATTGGTTATTTAGTTGATTTAGATGATTATTATGTCTAATAGTGAATTACTTTATAGATGTCAAATTTAAAAAATGATGAGTGCGAAGATGAAGTTGTTGTGGTTGAATCTACTAGAGTGGTTGGAGTATGGAATGAAAATATTAAATCTTACCTTATAAGTTTGATAGAGGAGGAGGTAAAAAAAAGGAAATAAACCAACAACCACTCTAACCAAGCAAGCTTGGAGGATTATCAAGCAAAAACTAAAGGAGAAGACAAAAAAGGATTATAGTCAGGAGCAGCTTAAGAACAAATATAATCAACTAAGATAAAGATGGAAGGAATTTAGTAAAATATTACAAGAAACTGGAATGGGATACAATCATATGAGCTTTCAACTTTCTGCTGAGGATGTTGTATGGAAAAAGTTATATGAGGTAATAATCAATAAGTTTATTTTGATTATATTGTTTTATGGATCAAGTAGAGATATTTTTAAACTTATAAGCTTTTATTTTTGTGATATTTGTTGTGAATGTATGATTGTTACAGAAACATAAGTCTGCCAAAACTTTTAGAAAGAAGGGATGTAAGCATTATGATAAATTATGCACAATTTATGGGGATACAACCGCTATTGGTGCTAGTTCACATCCTTCTACTAAAAGCCCTTCTGAGAGTGAGGATGAAGATGACACAGATGGAGAAGGGGGTGACTCAAGAAAACAATGTGAAGAGGGTCCTAAAAACAAAAACAAAATCAAGCCTAATGTCAATCGTAAGAAACTTAGGGATAGTGTTAATGTAGGAATGGCGGATGCCTTGGTAACAATGAGTGAAAATTCCAAGAAAAAAACTTGAACTTATAGAGAGAAAATTTAATGGAAATGATGAAGCTAAGGTGGGCATCAGTCCAAAGAGGATCATGATTTGCTCATGGAATGTGTAGGTGCACTAAGTGCTCTTGAGGGAATTGATGGAGCTTCATTTGCAAAGGCAACCAAACTTATACATAATGATCCATTGTGGAGGAAAATGTTTCTTAGATTTCCAAATGATAGGAAGATAGATTTTGTGCTCAACCTTTAAGCATTATCTCGTTAGTATAAATATTTTTCCCTTCAATAATGCATGTTTGAGTGTTTAAACTCAATTCAGATCTTGTCGTAAGTATGATATTTTTTTTATTTTGTATTTGGATTTGATTTAATATGAATAATAATGGTGATAAAATTCTATATGCTTGATTATAACATTAATATGTACTGATAATATTCTATTTGGTTGCTTATAACATTTATATGTAAAAAATGCAGATAGTTATGGATTTTGACATTGAAGATATTTTATCGGATTCTGATGAGGAAGATTTTCAACAAATATTGACAATTTATATTAACTTACAAAATAACGGGTTCCTTAAAAAGAAACCCCGTTTGCAAAGAATTTCAAAGTTAACACGTCACCAATATGTCCTAGAACTGCTTAACGGTCATCCAATGACATGTTATGATTTGCTTCGAATGACTCCTCAAATCTTTATTAGCTTGTGTGAAGAATTGAAAAAAGGGAAAAGTTGAAAGATTCCAAATTTATATCAATTCAAGAACAAGTTGCAATGTTTATTCTTATTATTTCTCATAATTCGAGGCACAGACTTATAGCGGATAGATTTCAACATTCCTTAGAATCTACTCACCGCCATTTTGGAAAGGTTTTGTATGCCATTGCATCATTATCGAAGCATTGGACTGTTCCTCCGGCATTTGATGAAACACCTCCAGAAATAAAAAATAACCCAAGATACTATCCGATTTTCAAGGTAATTTTTTATCATTGATTTTTAATTTTTACATATTATTTATGTATTAATTCATTAAGTATGTAGTTTAAATTTAACGATTTATTACAGAATTGCATAGGAGCTAGATGGAACTCATGTATCAGCACGTGTGCCACAAGATGATCAAATTCCCTATCGTGGAAAAGAAAAAAAGTCTACGATGAATGTAATGTGTGCTTGCTCATTTGACATGAAATTTACATTTGTGATGGCTGGGTGGGAAGGTTCGGCTAATGATTCAAGAATTTTTTGGGAAACAATTACAAATGTAGAAGAGACCAAGTTTCCTATGCCTCCTACTAGAAAGTATTATCTTGTAGACTCAGGCTATACAAATATACCAGGATTTCTTCCACCGTATCGTGGAGAACGATATCATTTGCGTGATTATAGAGGAGCAACAAGCCCACAAGGTCCTGAGGAAATATTTAATTATACACATTCTTCATTGAGAAATGTTATTGAAATATGCTTTGGGGTATTAAAAGCTAGATTTCCCATTCTCAGAAATATTTAATTTTGTCGTGCTGTGTTATCCACAATTTCATAAAAATGTGCAATTAAGGACGGAGATCCTTTGTTCATACAGTATGCGGATGAAAATGTCGAACTAGAAGATGATGCAATCAACAACAATGGATCCGAGGACCTAGTGACTCCTTCTGTAAGTCAACAAGAACTTCAAAGAATGGCTCAGTTTCGAGATCATTTGGCAACAAGATTGTGGGAAAGACAAAATTCATAATGAAAGTCTTCAACGAGAAATAAATATTACATTGCATTTGACTATTTTATTGTTACTTTTTTTGGTAGTTGTTCCTTTAAATTTTGTTATAACCTTATTCAATCAATAAATTAATTACTGAAATATATGTATATTTTTTTTGTGAAAACAAATAAGCAGCTATTAAAAAAAAATAATAATAAATAATTATCAGTAATATAAGAGTTGATTAAAGCTATAAATGATTTGGTATTATTTTGAGAGTTGATTGTAAACTCAAAACTGAAAAATGAAAACAGTTTTTAAAAACAAAGAATCAAAAACTGAAATCAGTTTTCAGTTTTAAAAAACAAAAAACTGAAAACTGAAAACGATGCCAAATGAACCCTAAATTTTTGAATAAATGTTTGCAGTTATTTCCTCTTTTTCTGTTGTTCATGCTCAATCTTTATTTCTCTTCTCTATGTATCTCTAATTCTCTTCTAGGTTTTTAAAATGGGATCGGAAAGGGATTTTGACAAATTTAGAATAAAGGTTTAATAGGATAACTTTTTATTATATATTGATCAATAAATAGAGTATTTATACAAAACTTGTGCTCATCAATTCAACGTACATACACATATATTTTCTGGTAGTGATTGATTTCATATTTGTAACATTTATTATTCTAACTCATGAAATGAAACATTTATATACACTTTTGTAATACTTGAAAATCTCAAACAAATTGATAATATATGAACAAATTGATAATATATATTATATTATTATATACTCATATTTATATTTTATATATTGCATATTATTTATATATTACATATATATTGCACATGTAAGTATGTTCGTTAGGTGTGTTTAAATTGAAAGAAAGTTCTAACTTACACATTCTCATAATTTAATTTAAATCATTATATCTTTATTTTTTAAATGTTTGTAACAATATTTTTTAAAAAAATTAAGTGGAGTCGATGACACATTGCTTTGAATTTTACTCCTCCCCTAAATGAAGATATTATATATGTGTTAAATTGCAATATGTCTAATACCCTTATAGCTTAGTGAGTGAACATTTTGGTCATAAAATAGAAAACTTTCCTTATTTTTCATGTCATTTTTGTGTTCAAAATGTTTAAATCTCATGTATGCTGCCAACCTACTTCCTCTCAGATCAAGACTTTGCAGTAGTAGCATTTTAGTGACCCATGAAATTAAACAAGAATGCAAGACCACTCCTCCGGCCAATTTTCGACTTCATGGAGTATGGCCAACGTATGGAAATGACATTGGAACCAGCCAATTTTCAAATACATGGAGTATGGCCAACATATAGAAATGACACTAGAAAGGAGTATTGCACAAATCAGCCTCTCATTGGTTCAAATTAAAATGTAAGTATAACTATGAACATTTGATTTGTGTAGTATGACCAACATATGAATTTCTTACACACACTTAACTAGTTTAGGTTTCATGTATGAATGATTATTTCCAGAGTTATTCATAACTAATTTTTTCAACAATTAACAAAAGCATCTACATAATTGCAACAACAAAGAGAGAGGGAAAGTGTAATGACATTGTGGTCGATAATCTCAAATTGATTCCCGTAATTAATTGCCAGACATATAATGGGAATAGGTATTTCTATGAAATGAGGTTGTTTGTCACTGTCGACTTGAAGAGATACCAAATCTTCTTTGGAAGCAGTGTAAGTGGTTGTGGACGATGGAGGGACAGACATATAAAAAAGACTTTATTTTAGCTAGTGTAGTGTACTGGTGTGTCGTGCTAGTATTATCATCGATAAAACTAGTTTAAGCCATGTGTGTATAATGTATGTTTGACTATTTATTAATGTTTCACTTTTCTTCCTTCAAAAAAAATGTATCACTTGTCTTGGTTAATCCTTATATCATTATAAAAATTAAGGTAAATTTTGCGCATCGTCAGCGAATTATAGATTTTTGAGTCACAAATTGCAAACCTAACCATCGTTCATCTACTAGCTACTCCATTAAATAATCACAAAACATCTTTGTAGTTTAAAATGAGCTTGTTAAGAAATTGATTTTTATTGTTAGATTGCAAATAGCTTATGTGGAATCATGTCTTACACTATAATCAATTACTAATGTTCGTTTTCTCACTAAAAGTAATATTCGAACTCATGATCTCAAGTCCCTGTCCCCCTTCGGGGCGAGGGCTGTCCTTCCTATTAAACTTTAACCACTATTCTAATAACAAAACTTATTACAATAAAGTCATATCAATATAAAGAACTGTATATATTCATAAATTCAAAAATTTCAATTAACTAATATATAAGTGCATATTTCAACAACAATATGATTACAAAATTAATCTGATTTCTTTCATTATTTACGCATTCATAATTCTATATATAGGTCATATGTATTTAAAATATGTAACGTAAAATAAAATATGTAACCTAAAAATGCATAACAATTTTAAAAGTTTTGCTATTAAGTATTAGCCACTGCCCACTGCACAAAATACGTTTACTTGAAATTTTTTTTATGACAACTGAAGAATATAACCACTTTAGCAAATAAATTAAACATATGTAAAATTTAGGTTATTGCAGATTTAAAAATGATTTTTGATGTTTTTTTTTGGTAAAATTAAAGAATTGATTTTTTTTTAATAAAACAATGATCCGGGTCATCGCCCGGGCCAAACTAGTTTTGAAATATTTGGAAATAAAACCAGGAATGATGATACATCGCTGCTGATGTAATTATTAGATATCATCAAGCTAAGTAACAATATAGTCATATAGCAATAATAGCATGCTTAAAATAAATAAATAAATAATAAATTAAAAAAAAATCTCAATGGTAACCCCCAACTTTTGTAACACTGAAATGGTAAGTTTATTCCAACAAATAACCTTATTTAAGAATTTATTCCCACAAATAACCTTATTTTAATAAATGGTGAGTTAAAATTAACTATGATTAGCTTTTTTTTACAAAAAAAAAAAAAAAAGAAAAAAACCCACCACAATCACCAACCTTGCCAACACCTCCACAACCTCCACCCTCACCTAGTCACCACAAGACCCAATCTTTATCCAAACCCTCGACCTCGAACATTGCACGCCTAGAACCTACGTTCCCGACCATCGTGACTTCACCCTCCCTCTCTTTCTTTTTTGCCCTCACCTCCGCCTTGATTCGAACCCCAAACCCTAACCTCCCCTTCTCTAACCTTTCCTTCTTCGACCATCCTACCTCCGGATATCCTAGAGTAGGTCATATGTTCAAGGAGAGAGGGGGGATCGCTGGTTTGGTGGGAGTGTGGAGTTAGGGTGAGGGGCTGGTGTAGTGGTGGTGTTTAGGTGAGGGTGAAGGTGAAGGTAAAGGTAGTGTCGGCGGTTGAGATAGGGTGACAATGGCTTTTTTTTTTTCTTGTAAATCTAATTCTGGTTTAACTTTTTAACCAATAAGACTCATTAATGTCATAAGTAGGATAAATTTCTTAATTAGAGTCATTTTGTATAATAAAAAAAAGGAATATTACTATTTTAGCGTTACACAAGTTGACGGTTACTATTGAAAATCCCCCCCCAAAAAAAAGTAATAATATATCTTTTCCGTTGATGGTGAAAGCTACAATTCTTCATAATAATGTGCTATCTATCTATATTTATTTATTTTTTATCGATTAAAAGGCGTTTCAAAAAATGTTTATGTGTCACGGGACACTCTCCTCTATTTGTTTCTTGTTGCATGCGCCACGTGTCACTCTCCTCTATTTGTTTCTTATTGCATGCATGTCATCATTATATAATAATAATAATAATAATAATAATAATAATAATAATAATAATAATAAAGCCGCGTGTCACTCTCCTCTATTTGTTTCTTATTGCATGCATGTCATCATTATATAATTAAAAAAAAAAAATTATCAACAAAATTCGAAAATGCAACCTCTACCTTTGAAACTAAGTGTCTTACCACTAAACTATGTCACATTTTATATTCTTAGTGAACACAAAATATTAATGTAGTGGAAACAAATTTAATTAAAAAAAATGAATCATTAAATTTAATTGTATACTAATAATCAACCACATGTATATGACCAGGGGTATTGCTTGGGTCAAAATACGAGTTAGCTATTTGAAAAATCAAATGCTAATGAGTGATGTCATAAACTTACTTTGAAATTTTGACATTGTCACTTCTCATTATATCCATAAGAAAGCTAGTGAGATTGCACTTTTATTACTAGCTTGGGTTTGTCTGGAATGAGGTTTATTTGGGCATGACCATAAAATGGCTTGACCTGACAAGGTATGAGAGATTGAGAGGTATGATAATCGGTCATGGGTTGTGCATGAACATCATTTTCAAAGTTAGGTATGAATTTAGCATGAGAATAACAAGCTAAACCTCAATCACATATTTTAAACCAATTTAACAAAAACTGATATAGTACTTGACGTGACGACTATTTCTTGATCAATTCTAAGCAAAACTTGTTTACACAAACCACACTGACATAACACGTACACCTACATGACACGACTTGTGCCTACCTTTAGTTATAGTCTTGATCTTTCCATAAGCTTTAATTTTTTATTTTTTTTTAGGAAATGATTTCCCTTATTTTGTGTTTAATTTAATTTTTTATTGATCCAACTTTACAACTTTTTTTTTGACACAATCCAACTTTACAACTTGAATTTTTATTGTCGATGGTAAAAAAAAACTTTAAAAAGTGCTGTAGAGTTCTTGTGTCTATTGCGGCTGCGCTAAAAAAAGGACAATTGGGCACTATACACACTCTCAAAATTTTCTCTCTCTAACAAATTTTCTCTCTCCTGTTTCTGCAAAATGATTCAAAAGCAGACCAACCGCTGTCCCACATTCCCACTCTTCTTCTTCATTAACAGTTTCCTTCTTCCTATTCGATCATTCTACTAACCATTTTTCCTGCAAATGCCGCTCTTTCCTCCATTAATCTCTCACTCCTTAATCCCTTCAATTCAACCATGAATGATTCTCAAAGCCTCTCTTCTTCCTCTTACAACTCCGCCTCCATTTCCGTCCCTGACCAGGTTTCTTTCCTCCTTCTTTTTCTGTTTATTGTCAAATTCATACTACGATTTTTTTTCCCCTTTAATTTGATTTTTCTGGGTAAATATATTTTTTATTCTTTTTGTTTATTATGATTGTAAGTGGGTTTTTTTGGTTTGAGTTTATTTGTTGAAAATTGAAGAAACTGTTTTTTTTTTTTCTTTTTATTATATGATATGTCTTACTGTATGTTTTACAAGATCGGAATCAGAAAACCGATGATCAGTCATGTCATATTGAAAGTTTACTTTACACTTCGATACGAATCCCGTCTACATCACTGCCCTCTTTATTGACTAGAGGTGGGTTAGGAGATTGATTGGTTGGTTGGTTGAATGGAATTAAGTAAGCAAATTTTACCCTAGTACTAGTATAATAATGGTGAAATTTCAAATTATGATTATTATTCGAGTTTTGGAGGACTGGTGTTTGTCTTTAGTAAGAGAAGTGTGGACTTCTTGAATAATTTATACTATGTTGTAATTTATGGTTAGTGGTTAGTGAAGTTTTGTAGTTATATTGAAAATGGGCATTTAGATAGCTTTCTTTAGAAAAAGTATTATTGTACTTTTTACCAAATTTGTGGAATTTGAGGAAGGAAAAAAATGGAAAGTTAACAACATGAATTTTTTTCATTTGTTTTATATTTTTCCTATAATTTTTACCTAACAACAAAATTTTCAGAATTTGCTATGTCTTATCAATAAAGTAAGGATATACTGATTTGGGAATGAGTTGATCAATCACTATGTAGCTTATAGAACTGTATAATGATATTTTTCTTCCATTGATCATTAGTTTTTAATTCAGAAAGTATCATGATCATTTAACATAAAGGCTTTTTCTTTTGTCGAATGAATGATGTGAAGACTTATTGATTCTAACAATGGATTGTATCTTCCTATGGTTTTACTCAATTGAGTTTATTATGGCCTTATAGACTTGACAGTAGTAGGGTCTCTTATAAGTATGTTTGTTTCAAGAGGGAGAAAATAGCAGTATGTTTCCTTGAACTTGGAGAATGTGATCATTTTGATGATACCGTCTAGATTTCATGTTAAGTAATTTTTTTTTGTAGAATGTTTGGACCTGATTTAAGCTTTTCTTTTGCATAGGATGTCGAACCTAGTCGAAGAAACACTAATAGCACCTATGCTTTGTCATTTGAGCAATCACGACACTGGAGGGATGTTTTTTGGTTAGCTGTTTTCATTGTGCATTTGGGAGGGTTAGGCCTGCTCCTAGTTGTCTTCGGTCTCAATAGATTTAAGAAGAATGATAGACTGAACATTGATAAGTATACAGGGTTCTTGGAGCACCATCGTGGTCTTACAGAGTACTACTGGCCATTGTATGCTGTTGCTGCTGGGGCTGGTACTTTCCTTGGATGGACTTGGTTATTACTGCTTGGTTATCAGGCCATTCACATGATGAAAGTGTCAGTTCACATTTTAACCACATATCTTGCTGTGGTTAGCGTGTTTTGTTTTTGGGCACAGCAGTTCTTTTGGGGTGTCGCTTTTGCAATTGGAGCGGTTTTACAGTTTCTGTATGTCATCTCAGTTATAGACAGGTATTCTAAATGTCAGACTTCACTTGTTTTATACTGTTTTATAGCTTTATGATGGTTGCATGTGTGCATGCCTGTATGAGAATAGTTCTGCTTCCGCCGTGAGATCTGTCAATATAAATACTGCACTAGCAAATTTTCTTCCTCGGCTCATTTAATATGACTTGACATAAGTAAAATCTATGCATTCGAAATATGTGAGCTTCATGTTGATTGCTGGGGAGTGTTTATTTTATATCAGTTTGGGTTCAATCATTGGCTTATTGCCTAGTTTGGTTTTTCCTTGACAGGGCAGTTTATTATTTTTAATGGCTAGGGTCAACCTTTATTTGGATGGATGATTATTAAGTTTGTCTGACCATAATTGGATAGAGCTATAGAGGAGATCCACTAATTTCATCAAACCTCAATACCGATGCTTTTGATGACCTCCAGGGAATGATACTATATCATAGTTAGTAGAATACAATGTATTGGATCTTCAGGTGCTTGATACTTTTGCCTGCGAATTTCTACAGTAGCTTGGTTTTTTTTGTTCTCATGGGTTTATTTGATTTCCTTGCTTATGTTATAACTGTGATTGTGTTGGCTTCCTTTTTAACTAGCATACGTAGTTGTAATTATTCTCCTGTGTGTTTTTGCTAATTATGAAATCTTGTTATTTCTTTTGAATGTTCCCCCTCCCTGGCACCTCTTTTAGGGTGTGACTGAACTGTGGTGTTGTGTTCTTCAATTAATTTGGAAGTTGAAATTAATACTTTTTGGTTGTCGATGCTGTGAATTTTGAATTGATTGAACTTTGCTCATCAACTGCCTTTTGTTCCCAATATCAGATAGTTTGCTGCCATCATCAAATCTTCAAATTTTGAAATAATGTAGCCTTGGTTTTAAAAAGCGCGCCTCACTCCCTGGGAAATGGGCTTTAGCTAGGCGAGGCTCAGTCACCTACGAAAGGCGCGCGCCTCGTGCGCCTCAAAGTGCCTTTGGTAAGGCGCGCCTTTGCGCCTCAAGGAAAATAACTAAGATTTAAGTTATAATTTGAAGAATGACGGACATTTTTTCAAATTCAGACTGCCTTAGCTTTAAATATATCATTATTTAATTTATTATGAATCTTTTTAATTGGTATTAAGTACTATCAAAGTAAAAAATAATTTGAAATAAATAAATAAATAAATACATGCGCCTTGCATACAAAAGGCGCGCGCCTTCGCCTTGCTCCTCGCGCCTAGGCTGCAAGGACCATTTGCGCCTTGGTGCGCCTTGCGCCTTTTAAAATTAAGAATGTAGTTTCTATACGAGTTACCAAATCTAAGTAGACATCAAATTGCTTGGGAATTTAGAGTAAGGCATCTTCCTGACTGTTGATAGAGCTTCTTTATGTGCATTTTTGCTAAAAATCTAGTCCTGCTATTTTGTGTGGCCTATTTAAGGACTTATGTCATTAGTTGTGCATTCATCTGTTTGCATCAATTTAATGGATGAAGATTAACAACTGTTTTTTTTTTTTTTTTTTTTTTTTTTTGCTTCCACCCCTTTTTGTTCATTTGAAGTACTTCTCTCCATGGGGTGTAGTCCTTAAAATTATTTATGTGAACTAGTTAGTTAATGCCTCAATGGGAAGTTGAGTTGAAGGACTCCAAACCATGTTATTTAGTGCAAGGATTTTTTAAATTAGCTTGAAACAGTTTGATTTGACTTGGGTAAATGGAGTTAAAAATGTCATGATGAAAGTGGGTTTTTCAAGTGGGTCTTTGTAAGTGAACACATGAGATAGGTTCCCGGTTTATGCAACCGCCCCATCCTTTGCGGAACAAGGCTTTGTTGTTATTTTAATCTCAAACAGGTTGATGTACGGTAGTTAGGTGGTCTATGTTGTGATTTTACTATGCTGATGTAAAGTTATTTGTGGTAAATTGTTTTTTCTCTTTGGATCCAAATGGGCTTCATTGATTTTTGGTGATCTCAACCAGGTAAGCCCACACATTAGCAATGCCCAAAGCAATTTTTCAAGGACCCTTTTTTTTTTTTTTTTTTTTTTGTCTGATGCTGGTTGCTCAGGATTTAAGGAATATTAGTCTGACCTTTGAGGATGAGATATGATCTCTCATCATAGCACTGTTGTCCATGATGACTGGTCTACTTCCTTTACCTAAATTAGAGTCTGAATGTCCTGAAGTTTGGTCTGCAGCTATATACATTGCATACTGAATGCAGACAAGGTCAATTTGGCATTGTTTATTTAACTGGTTAGTCAATAGTTATGGCTTTCTTTACCAGGGAATTGTATTACCATGATAAACCACATCTTTCCCCGCCCTTCTTGCTCAAAGTGCATTTAGCACTAGATAGAGAAGAAAAGAGACCAATGAAAGATGTTAAGTTAGACATGATATTTAATATTAGTATATCACTTAATGTCTTTGAATATGTTGGCTTGTAAATGGAAGGTCATAAATAGTAGGTGTTAAAGTGTAGATAGTTCAACTCTTAATATTGACGTATGGACTTGTGGCCACAAAGCAGCTCAGGGAGAAAGGGTCTTTGAAACTTGTTGTACTTTGATTGATGCTTGATTTGCAAGGAGATAGATAGGCGGACGGATGAGAGAGAGTAAAGATAGGAAGGTGGTGGTGTATCATGTGTGTAGCTAGGAAGGGTTAATTAGTTATGAAACTTCAGAAGTATAATCAACAAAGTTAATTTTAACATCCAAGCTGTCTTTTGGTTCAGTTTTTAGCCTATAGCATAGTGGGGTTAGAAGTTGTTTAGGGATGGGAAATGAATTGAAAATAATTAAATTCATGTCCAAAATCAGTGATGTTGTTTATAATGTTTTTTTCCCCTCTTGAATGCCTTATATCAGTTTGTATGGTAAATTAGCAGTCTTTAATGAAGATCGAGCTGTGATTTTTGAACACACCATGCCATTACAGAATGGAAATTTGACATCCTGTTTAATGTGTTTTGAACTACTTGGTTTGAAATGTACACTTTATATTATGGTTTTTCACTTTTTCTAAGGGTGGGGTTTGCTGGTGAAGATTGGTAGAGGATAGGAGATCATTAGTGACTATGTAGAAAAAGTTCATCTGATTAATTTCTGGCTCAAATATATACTGAACAGTGTACATTAACTGCAAAACTACTCTAGGGGATAAACGAATTAAAAAAATGTGGAAGCTGTTTTATGTAGGAACTACTCTGCCATACTTTATTACTTTTGAGACTAAGAGTTTTTTCAATTACTTTTTACAATATAAATGTTTATTCATTTTTATGTATCAAATGCATTTGTTTGTTTCAGTCTTAAAATGGAATGAAATTTTTTGTTTTTTCCCTTTTCTTATAAGTGTTCTTACTATGTTTAAGGGCCTTGCACAGTTTACCCAAGAAAATGATACATATACTTCAATTCTATCTGCCAATCCTATATTCCAGTTCAACTTATTTATGAAAATCCCTTTGCAGAGGTTTCTTATTAGGGAGTATATGTTAATCTTTACTTTATTTGCAGACTGCCTTTTTCAATGCTCGTGCTGCAGAAAGCTGTGAAAATGGCATGGAGCCTCCCTAGAGTTATGTGCATAGCATATGCTTTCATTCTAGTCATGCTTTCATGGATGGCATTATGGTCCTTTGGAGCAGCTGGGGTTGTTGCTTCAAGCATTGGTGATAGTGGAAGATGGTGGCTTCTTGTGGTGAGCGGGCAAGTTTGCTCTGTGTTCGATTTGTTATATATGAATCTGGGGATAGATTTATTCTTAATGCTGTAGTTATTGGAGCTATATCTCATTCCTCTACCTTGTTTTTGCAGGTATTTTCTATAAGCTTATTTTGGACAGGTGCTGTTCTCTGTAACACAGTTCATGTAATAGTGTCTGGGATGGTTTTCCTTGTCCTCTTCCATGGTGGCCAAGAAACAGCATCTATGCCTTCCAACTCGTTGATGAAGTCTTTGCGTTATGCTGTTACGACTTCATTTGGAAGCATCTGCTATGGCTCTCTCTTTACAGCTGCTGTTCGTACACTAAGATGGGAGGTAATTTTGTTAGTGTCACTTTCGCACTAAAAATATATTTCAGTTTTTTGTAAATAAAGTGATTCTTCAGCTGACATTGAACAGATAAGAGGCTTTCGTGCAAAGATTGGGAATAATGAGTGCTTGCTCTGCTGTGTTGACTTCGTATTCCATATTGTGGAAACGCTTGTTAGATTCTTCAATAAGTATGCATATGTACAAGTATGTTTTTTGCTGTTCTAGCTTCAGTTATTATTTCCATGGATGTTTGAAATTTTCTTTGTATGCGTGGGACCAAAAGTTTCATGTTTGTGTCTATGAATCTTGTCATTAACAAAAACTTCTATCACTTTTAACATGCTATTTCTCTTGAAATGTAGTTGAATTTTAGAATACTTTTCCAGTCATTGCCCTGATACTAGAATTAATTTTAGCCTTTACACAAAAATTTAGTTTGTTGCTTGATTCCCATTTGCTGACTTAGAAGACATTGAGGTTTTTTTGGTGTACTCTATGTTGACTTTGCATAACATTAATAAGGAGTTAAGAGTTGATGAATTTATGTTAGAATAATGTCAATAGATTAAGTAGGACTAATTTCCTAAAACAGCAGCATGGTTGCTGGAAGCCTGGAACTAGAAAGTCCCTTATCATTGTCATCTTTAGGAATGTTAAACCTTTAACCCATACCTATGGAGGGAGAGACAAGAGGAGAAAATGTGTTAGTACTGGGACAACAACCTCAAACTATTATCAAGTTCATTATAGTAAAAAAATTTCTAATTATCAGTGTATTTAATGCAAAAAGATTTGAAACTGCAGAAAATCTTTTGACATTCTGGCCATAATTACCATGATAAAAAATATTAGAATTCTCTTAATTATGTTTGTCGTTTGATAAGTCTTAACGTTGTTAAGTTCTATAATTCATATGATATGTACGGAGTATTTATCTATATTTCTGCTGTATCATTTCTATGAATGCTGCTGTTATTATATGGTCTGCAGCATATGCTAAGATCGATGGGGCATGTAGTTTTGATTGTATTGGAGTTTACTATCACAAATGGCTATAGCTATAGGAATTAAAAAATCTTTAGCGATTTCCTACAAAGAGTTTCATAGCATGCCCTTTCAAAAAAAAAAAGAAGAAGAAGAAGAAGAAGAAGAAGAAGAAGAAGAAGAAGAAGAAGAAGAAACAGCCTGCTACTGATTGGGAGATAAGGTGCTTAATTTTTGCATCATTAACTTTTATTTCCCCCTGCAGATTGCAGTCTCTGGCAAAAGCTTTAATCATTCAGCAAGAGATGCTTGGGAATTGTTTCAGTCAACTGGGGTTGAAGCTCTTATTGCATATGATTGTTCTGGTGCTGTCCTTTTGATGGGAACTATCTTAGGAGGCCTAATTGCCGGAACATGTGCAGGAGTCTGGACATGGCTAAGATCAAGTGATCGAGTTTTGATGGTAGGCTCCACCTCCATGCTGATGGGGATGGTTTTGGTAAGTAATATTATATCTGTCCCTTTGTGAGGCTCAATTTAATGTCAATATACAAGACCTGGTTAGTCTGAATGCTCTCTATGTACCCAGAGATTTGATTGGTTTAAATTATTTTATTTTTTTTAAATGATTACAGTTTTTGGATTCACTATTGCACTGATCTTAGCGGATACTTTTTTTTATTATTATTAAAGCTGATTATACACCACTTTCATGAATAAGTTTGTTGGTCAGATAAGTATTAGTAGATTTAGTACTGTGACTGTAGTCATGTTTTGACGACTGCAGTAAAAATGTAGGCATTTGACATAGCATCTTGTAAGATAGTATCATGAGAGCCTACCCACGTCTTTGGCTAATTCAGCTACGAGTGTGGATAGATCCTTCGCTACTCAGTTCTATTCTTTATATATTGCTAAATTTATCACTAATTATATGGGTTTTTATCAGTCTCAATGCTTACATGAGCTGAACCAAAAATTTCATGGACTACACGTATGGTGTGTTATTACTAATGGCATTTGCTTCAACTTTAGGTTGGACTTGCAATGGTGGTGGTGGAAGGTGCAGTTACATCTTTGTACATATGTTATGCCCTGGATCCCCTTCTCATTCACAGATGGGATCCTGAGTTTTTTAACCAGATGTCGGAAATGCTTCATCAGCGCCTCCAACATAGAAGTGCACGGGGTCGACAAGTCTTGACCCACAACACACTTGATTCGCACATACCCAGTTAATAAGACCCTAATACATTGACACATTGATGCTTGTATAGGCGCAGCAAAGGCTGCTGCTTCCCATTACCCTCTCGTCCCTTCTCCTCTGTTTGTAAAATCTGTGTATGGTGTACAAATATGATGTGGTTGATAAATGCCTAATGCAGTAATGCTTTGGCAATTTGGTGTTGTAATTTTATATGTAGGTTGGCTTCCCCTTAATTAGATATATGGCAAATCAGTTATTCGGATTTTCTGTACATCGTTTTTGGGTCATATTTTGGTGTGTAGCATATTGATTTAGTACGGGGTCAAATTCTTGGGCTCTTGGCGTTATGATAATTAGCTTACTACAAATACAATAGTCACATTATTATTTGGGTTAAGAACAAATTTATTTTGGGCTCAATTGAGTTAGGGGTTAAATATAGTTATGGACTTATGGGTCTAGATACATAATTTAGGTAAGGTGTAGAATAAAAATGAACAGATTAATGGAAGATCTTATGTTTGTAGTTTGAAACTATAAGTCCTTATTAAAATTTATTTCTCTAAACTTATAAACAACACCCAAGAGTTTGTGCGTCGGAAGACGTCGATGACGATGGCAAAAATGGTGGATGATGACGACGATGATGACAATCGGCGATTTAAACCCTAGATAGAATTACTACTTGTTAGAGACGAGGACGATTATGGAGGAGATGAAGAATAAATTCTCCAGCGAAGGTGAGCGTCCTCTGGTGGTGCGATTTGCTGGTGGAGGGTGTGGTGGCCTTGGTTCGCTGGTTTGTGGGTGCGGTGGCCAGGGTTCGCTGGGTGTGGTGGCAGCGAAACAACGTGGCTAATAGTGGGTGTAGTGGTCGGACTGATTTGAGGAAGGGGAATTGAGGAACAAAGGAGAAGGAGAGGGAGTGAAGGGTGGCTAATTTTGTTTTTTTTTTTTTTGACAAAAGCAAATTATATTAATAAAATCAGAGTTTACAACATACAAAATAAAAACTAAAACTTACTACTACATGGCTATTTAAGCCTTTACAACTTTCGACATTAAAAACCTTATAACATAACTGGGTTTGGCCGGACATGTTGCGGATTAGGACCTCTTTGAAGTAGGGTGGCTAATTTTGTGAATATGCTAACAGGAGAGAGAAAGAAAGAGAGGAAGAGGGGGAAAGAGGAGAAAGAATAAAATAAAAATACTAGTAGTTTGTATTTATACTCGTATATACTTTATACATTAGCTAATACAAGTAATATATCAGCCAATTGATATTTCATATCAGTCAACATTGAAAATATTAATAAAAACGTATCACCTAACAAAAAGAATATACCATCAAACAAAAGATACATATCAGCCAACAAGAGGAGTACATTAACCAATAAAAGGTACTTATCAGCCAACAAAGGATGCATATTAGATTATCAGCCAACAAAAAGATGAAATTAGCAAACACGTAAGCCAACAAAATGAAACATATGATCCAACAATTAAATTATGTATATCAGCCAACTAAAAATATATATAAACCAAATATTGTATGATATCAGCTGTTTAGGGTAATTTTACCCCGCCACGTAGTCCAATCAGAGGACGACACGTGTCAGCCCCAGGATGGCCCAAAGCGGACCTATCCCAGCTTGACACGTGTCACTCCAGAAACCTGGGAGGAAATGGCGGCCTTCAGGCCCAAATCCCGAGAAAGCCGTAATGTGGCGCAGCCCACCAATGATTAGGGTTCAGTGATCTAATCAGGGGCACAAATCCCGAGGACCCTATAAATAGGGAGATTCCCCTCTTTTGGAGGGCACGTTTTACCACGATTTACCATTTATTACAAACTGTCCCTGTGATAGAGACATCTGAGCTTGGAATCCGAGCAGATACCCACCTAGATTTCCGCACCTTTTTCTCTCCCTTCAAGTTACTAACTTGTTCGTCGGAGGCGGAGCACCACCCAACCGGTGTCTCCGTTTGTTTTGCAGGTACAGGCCGCACCGGATCAGTCTTCGTGTTGTAACTCTCCCGAGGGACAAAAATACCCAAAACATTTGGCACCGTCTGTGGGGAGAGTACCTCGAAGATGGTTCAAGAGTCTGTACCACCTCCTAACCGTCTGGGCGATGACCTAGAAGTTTTTACAGACCAGGAGGATGAAGATCCTCAGGTCGAAACCTATACAGCCGATGATGGCTCTCTGTTAACCAAGCGCATCCGGCCCAGAGAGACTCTGGAGCGGGGTGCCTCCCAGGCGGGTGCAAATCGACCCCCTGGGCAGCCGGAAGGGGAAACCCATACGGCAGTTGGATTAGCACCCGTCACCCGAGACGAACTCATGAGATTCATGACAAGTTTCAAGGGTGAAATTAAAGAACTGATAACTAAGAGTCGGGCTGGCCCAAGTACGGGTCAGACGGTCAAGAAGACTCCTCTGGAAAAGGGGAAGTCAGTCGGAGATCGGCAGCCCACTCCTCATCCAAAGGAGAAGGCAGCCGGGACCATTGATTGGTCCAAAATTCTTCTTCCTAAGAGGAATACCAACAATACCCGCCGGACCCAGCAGCCGGTGGGAAGTAAAAAATCAACTCTTGATGCCCGGGAGATCATCAACCGGAAGAGAAATCAACAGTTGTCTGAGTCGGCTTCTACGTCGAATTTTCCAGACAGTTTCAACAATACTTCTGCAGGGAATTCACTTTCCTTGCACGAAAGTCAGACAGGCGGTAATACCATCCACTCTGGCCCTCAGATGAAAGGGACTACACCATATGTACCTTCTCATGTCAATGGTCAGTACCCACCTTACTATATGCAACCGGCCCTCTTCGGAGGTCAGGCGGCATATCACAATGTTCAGTCACTGGACTACAGCTCCGTCTGCTTCGCCTGGGTGAACAACCTTCTGCGTTCACCCGGGAGATAACCGAGGCGACACAGCCAGCCAAGATTACCTCATGGCTTACACCAACCTCATGTACCTACAGGGGTTGGATGATGCCGCTTGGTGTCGATGCTTCCCGGCTAAGTTGAAGGGCATTGCCCAACAATGGTTTAGCAACTTGCCAGCCGGGTCCATTGATAGCTTCAAGAAGCTAGCCTTCTTGTTTGCCACCAACTTCTCCATGAACATCCCTGCTAAGAAAACGAGCCTTGATTTGAGCACTATTAAGCAGGGTGAGAGAGAAGGGCTACGCTCATATGTCAAGCGGTTCAACCTGGTTAGAATCCAGATCCAGGGACTGTCTGACGAGGTAGCATTTACAGACTTTTTCAAAGGTCTGAGAGACGGGTCAAACTTCAAGTTTGACCTCGTCAGAAAAGGGGCATGCACGCTACAGGCGGCCCTGAGGGAGGCGGAGAGCTATATTCAGGCTACTGACCTCTGCACGCCTAGTGGTCAGTCAGACTCCAAGAAGTCTGACAAACCAAAAGAAAGCCGGTCTGCTCAGCCGGCCAACAAGAAAGAAGAGAGAAAAAAGAGAAAAGAAGTCTGGGCGGTTAGTGATTCTGACTAACCGTCCCATAAGAAAAAGAGAGAGTTTAAGCCGTACGTCCATAAGTACGAGTTTAACAAAGACTGCAACTCCATCCTCATGGAGGTAAAGAACCGGTTGTCTATGGACAAACCGAATCCAATGAAGAGTTTCGTCCAGTCACGGAACAAAAATAAATTTTGTCAGTTCCATGAGGAGGTCGGCCATGACACCAACGACTGCTTCAGTCTTCAGCGGGCGTTGGACCGTCTGGCCGACAAAGGGCTGCTAAAGTCCTACATTTCTAAGTCCCCCGCTGGGGCAAAGAAGAAGAACAAGGGTCAGTCCTCCAAGACTACCCACCAGCCTGCTAGTAGCTCGGATACCGACAAGGAGCCGGTCTACACAATAGCAGGCGGGTTCTCATGTGGTGGCCCTACCATCCGAGGCACCAAGAGCCATCTTCGAAAGATGGACAAAGATGATGATAAACAGGCGTCTGCTAGCTCCTCCTTCCCAGTCATCTTGATCACTAAGAAGAACAGGGGCAGCGTCCGCCGTCCGCATGATGACCCGGTTGTCATTGAATGTAAGGTTGTCAACCAGCTGGTTGGACGGATCCTTATTGACACCGGCAGCTCATCAGACATCATCAGCCTCCGGTGCCTGCAAAAGCTGAAATACAATGTCAGCAGCATGCATCCGGTCACCCACCCCTTGTTTGGTTTTGGGGGTGGCATGGTCTAACCAGCCGGAAGAATTGACTTACCCATCCGGCTGGGAGAGAAAGGTCGTTGAGGAGTTGACCGCCTACAACATTATCCTTGGTCGGCCAACCCTCAACGAAGCCAAGGCGGTAATCATCCCGTCTCTCATGCTCATCAAGTATGAGAGGGATGACGACTCTGTTGGTTCCTTGAATGGGGATCAAAAGACGGCCCGAGAGTGCTACCTCTCAGCCGTCAAAGATATTGTGGCCCCAGACGGCCAGGAACCAATAGACCTTGACAATGTCAAGGATGCCGACCCAGTACCCGCCCCACAGCAGCCGGGAAGAAAAGAAAAGCGCCTCTGCTGGTGGAGGTGAAAAAAGAGAAAAAATAGCAATCACTGACCGGTGAACGGTCAGACGAGCTCCGTCCCCAACCGGCTGGTGAAAACATTGATCTCGCTTTGGATGACAGCCGTCCAGAGCGTACTGTAAAGGTTGGGACGGTTGCTTATGCTACTTTAGGTGCAAGCTTGCACCTTCTACTGAAAGAATTCAAAGACATTTTTGCCTTTGAAGTGGAAGAGATGCCAGGCGTCAGCCTGGATCTCGCTGTCCACAAACTCGCTGTGGACCCTAAGAAGAAGCCCATCCGGCAAAAGAAAAGAAACCACGGCGAGGAAAGAAGTCAGGCGGCAGCTGCTGAAGTCAAAAAGCTGCTAGACGCCAGGTTCATTCGGCCTTGTAATTTCCCCGACTGGGTTGCCAATGTGGTCCTTGTTAAGAAACCAAATGAGACCTGGCGCATGTGTGTTGATTACACAGATCTCAACAAGGCGTGTCCAAAGGACAGTTACCCGCTTCCAAAGATCGACAGTCTGGTCGACTCTACAACCGGTCACGCCTTGATGAGATTTATGGATGCCTATTCTGGCTTCCATCAGATACCCCTCTGGAAGAAAGATCAAGAGAAGACGGTCTTCGTCACTGATTTGGGGTTATTCTGTTATACTGTGATGCCGTTTGGCCTAAAAAATGCGCCTGCCACTTTCCAACGGATGATTAATACGGTCT